TATCCCAAAAGAAATGCCAGGGTGAGGAAAGAAAGCCACAGGGCCCAGAAAAGCTGTTTCACATCTGTGTAGCAGGTTTAATGATTGACTCAAAGGGAGTCTGTTCTTGAAGCAAGAAAATTTTTTCCCGAGTGACAGGTCTCCTTATCCAGTCATGTATGGACAAGGCAGCTTCACAGTGAAAAGCATGATGACAAAACCACTGTGCAGAGGACAGGGTGCTTAAGGGGCTGTACCAAAACAAGCAAGAAGTATCCAAGCCCACCTTTCCTTTGTACCCAGCACATTACTGCTGAATTATTATTGCTGCTTTCCCTCTGAACTACCTGCCTATGCTACAGCAAAGTCTTTGCCTACTGCACCTCTCAGATGCATTGAAGAACCTGCCTGTAGAGCCAGGGCTGGCCAGAGCCAACAGATTTTTGAGACCACTAAAAGCCAATAAAGCTGCATCAGCTGAATAGATAGGAAGGGGTTTGGGTGCTACAGGCTCAGGGTGAGAGCCATTGAGGGAGCTGTGGGGAGTGTGGGAGGGGGCTGAGGGGAAAAGCTGAGCTCATTGCATCCCAATCAGACAACATCAGGCAGGAAACAGATGTGGAAGAAACCACAGAGGGGTACAGCAACAGCAGAATTAACTCTCCAGCAAATAGGGGAATCTCAGACACACAGAGATGACCTGCACCATAAGAACAAGGCATCAAGTCTGAGGTCTGGCTTTACGCACACCTGGTAGCACCTCTTAGCCTAATATCTAGACACCAGCATACCAAAAAACCACAGGAAACATTCAGCCTTTTTCCAAGTTCTACCTGGCTCTAAGCATATGAAGCAAAGGTAGGTCTGGATTGCTAGAAGTTCCTATACAAAAGACTCGATTATCTTTTACCATCACAATCCAATTCTTGTAGATGCTGTGTGCATTTCCATTTTAAAGAGTGGAAGTTGTATGTGGCTGTATATCTGAAATCCCAGCTTGAATTTCCACAGTTAGAAGCACTAGGAATATTAAAATTTCTTTTGATTTAGCTCCTCTCACTTTAACAGCTTTGACTCTTATAACAGCCTCCTGTTACAATACTTTTGTGATATAACCAGAAGCAAGACTGTTCTTTGTGACTGTTTTCTTAAGCAGTTCAGACTGTCCTGCCCCAGCTAAAGATGGTGCACAAACTTGTGCCTTGTCTTCTCTGCTGGCCCATTCGTCACCAGAAAATTACACTGTTGTTATTGCAGTAACTGAGAGCCTGATGTGCAACTCCCACTGACTTCAGCAGAGGCACAATGCATTTTTCTCCTCTGGAAACCAAGCTGGTTATCAAGAGGCCAGAACATGACTTTAATGTTAATCCTTCAAGACTATTATCTGTTAGCCCCATTACACTGATACATTTCAATAGTTTGGCACAGTAAAAAGTTTTAGTAAAGGGCCATTAGTACTCACTACATGGATGGCTATCCATGTCCAAAGTCTGGGCATGGACACTGCTTTCTAGTGAAGCTTTTATATTCCAAAAGATCACTTGCCTTCAAGTATGGACTCAGTGCTGGAAGTGACACAGGAGGGACTACATAAAATTACACAACTTTTCCGCATTGGTACTGCCAGCCGCCATTCCTTTATGTGCGATGTGAGCTTGTCCTCATACATGCTGCTATTTAAGCCATTGTTTGATAATTATGGTGAGGAGGAAGAGAAGTTTATTTTCCCCCGAGTTTCTAGCCCTCTTACCAAAGAAAGACTTGAAAACATAACCCAGATGCACACTGAAGTTTTGGAAAACAGAAAGCGGACAAAGAACCCAGCAAAGATTTTATGTGGTGGTTTTTGTGGCCTGAGTCATGATTTTAAATGCTTGTGTGCACTGATAGCAGTCTGCCCCCATAAGAAGTGTGACCAGTGTCTGTGCAGAGACTGCCAGCAGGAAAAGGCCAAGTAGGGTCAAATGTGGTACTGACAGGAACTGACTTGAAACACAGTAAATTCAACACATCTGAGTGTCCAACCAGCCACCAGACATCCACATCTGCCCATCACCACTGACCTGTGTCAGATCTCAAAGAATCAACTTGAGGCTAAAGGCTTTGTATCACGTTTTTGGCTCCTGAGCTGCTTCACTGTACCTGCTAAAGTCTTCCTATTTGATCTTTTTTAAATACTTGGTAGCTCTGCTGCAGCTTTTATTGTATTATCATAAAGTTCTTTCTAAGTGAGGCTTAGGTACATGGATCTGGTAAGGGAGACAGCGAGATCTTTGGCTGTCTCTGAAGAGAACCATAGCCAGTCATTAAAGAGTTACATGGGAAGAGAGGAAATGCTGATACCTTTAGCAGAATATAATTCTCTCCACTGGAATTTGGCAAGAACACAGGGACTAAGGTCCTTACAGAAAGCACAAGCTGCTCATCAACAACCGCAGGCATGTAGGGACTCAAGTTGTGCCTCTCCTCCACAAAGCATCGTGCAAGTAGTGCAGCATCCCCTAGCTGTAAAGGTCATGTACTAACCCCGAGGGGAAAATTCCAAATTGAATCGTCTTCACTAGCCTTGACCACCCCCTGTGCTCCCTTGGCCAGCACCAGCAAAGCAGGTCTCAGCCTCTCCTTGCCTGTGCAGCTCGAGTCTCACACAACAGCACTGGAGGATGGCCTAAAGCAAACCTGAGCACGGAAAGCACAACCAATATGACTCACGTCCTGCCGGGCCCACAGCATCTTCTTTTCAGTTAACCCTTCTGGGTACACTTTAAAACCTGCTTGCAGAAAGGCCCACAACAAAATGTTTGCTGGACAGCAGCCAAAAAGCTCTCCTGCTCCTCACCACTCTCAGATACCAGGAACAGTCTTAGAACTTCATTGCTTCTCAGTAGGGAACAACCTGAGCCTGCATCCCACCAGTTAAACACACAGCACAGAAGAAATCAAAGCAGAGAGAAAGCTACAGCTTCATGTCCCTATAAAATCTGCTGCCTACAGGAGCACTGACTTGTCACTGGAAATAATTCTTAGCAGAACAATTCAACTCTCCCCAAGTCAACCATCTCTCATACCCTGAATGCTCTTTTAATTTGGTTGCAAGTTTGTGATGTCCTGGTGACATCTCAACCTTCCTTTTTTCCCTAAGACATCACTTCAGCATTCTTGGTCATTCCTATTTATCCTGAGAGTCCTACTACCAACAAAATTAATATCTCTAATATTTTAATTTTTTTCCCCTTGTCCTGATGAATTGGAACTTCCAATCCAACTTAACTTACACCCTTACCAATTAACCTACAACAACTGAGTCCTTCATTTCTGGATCCCACAGCACTGGGCAATGGGATGTGCTACTGAACAAACAGCAGTACTGCAGAAAGGAAAGGAACTTCCTATTCTCCCCACTGCTCCTCAGCATGGAGAGATAAGTACATTGGAACTGTGAACCATGCCACAAATGAGATTTGAGAAAATGCCCTTCCTTCTTGTTCTCAAAAGACTATTAAAAAAAAAAAAAGACGGGATTTTAGGTAATAGATTTTGCTCATCTGGCCTAATTTCAACTGCAGTTAGTATGTTTTTGCCTTTAAAATTCCCCTTGCTGCTTCAAGTGAATATACTGCCTGTGCCCGCCTTCCCTGCGTTGTTTTCCAGTGCTCCTGTAAACAGCTGTAAATAGTTCCTTCACCACAGAGGTCCATGGTAGCACTGGATGGAATTTATCTGTCTACACCTCACACTGGCAAAGGGACATCAGCTCATTAAGTCTGTTATTTTTTTGACACTTAATTCTATTGCTGTTAAGAGCTATGTAAGTTAAAAGATCCAGTACCTGTTGCAGACAACCCACAATGCAATTGAATGGCTGGTTTTCCCCCATATCTAAATAAATGCACATATATAACAGTTCATCTTAGTGATACATTTACTGCCCTCTTCACTGTGCAATGGAAAGTACTCCTGTTATGCAGCCCATCCCTCTGCCAGTGTGGTTCCACACTGCACTTCATCAGCCATGCTCATCAGCAAATGAAAGACCTGATTGTACAGCTCTGCCTGTACAAAGCTGACATTGCTGCTAGAAGTCTTTTTTTTTCCCCTGAAATAACCTGACATTGGTAAAATTGGTCAATTCAAATTGGAACATCACGCTAAATCGGGATCATAATGCTAACATCACGGATGGTAACAGGCATGTATTTATTTTTTCCTCTTGCTAAACTGCAGGTCCTTCTGCTGGCCAAACTCACAACCACTTCTCTTGTCATTCAACTCACTTTAAGAAAAAATGTTCTGCTACTTCCCTCATCAAGGACTGACCATTTCAAACTCAGGGCCCCCTTATTTTATTGGAGTTACCTCTTGTCTGAGCTACTGTGTTCTCATTCAGTACCTGGGAGCATGAAGGTCAAGGGGAGAAGGAGTGAAAGCCAACAGGCAGGGTGGTGAACGTGTTAGCTCAGATGTCTCCAACACCACACACCATACTCCACCCGATAAGCCAGTCTCTGTCCTGTCTCCATCCAGCAGTCCAAGGACAACATTTGAACTGTACTGGAGTCCAGTTCCTCCCCAGAGTCCTCCAAAATTCTGTTGTCATGGACTTAAGGTGGATTTTGAAATCCTGGAGGAGGCAACACTGAGCACCATTCAGATTTCCAAACCTGACTCGCTAAACGCCTGTTACTCCCTTCCACTGCCAGGCAGATGGGAGAGGGCATCACGACTGATGTCAGGCTGTCTTTTACACACTTAGGCAGCCCGAGAACCCCAGCCCAGTCCTTTCCACACACACAGCACTACTCATGCAAGGGTCATGCAGATGCATCACCAAAGCAATCTTCCGACCGCTCATTCATTGTGAGTAATGGGGCAGTGACTCCACTTCCCAGGGATAAGTCAGCTCCAGGCTGTCTAACCCTTAGCTTTTGGAAAGGTCTGGTTTGCAGTCCTGCCAGTAAGAACAGGGGGACACGCGCTTGGCTTTTCTGCAACCAGAGCGAGAATAAAGAAGCATTTACCATCCTGCCCAGAGCTCTCCAGATACTCCGTCAGGTCGCAGCCGAACGCGCTCGCGGCTCCCTTCCTCTTGAGTTTCTGTTTGGCTCCCTTGTTCTTCATGAGGTTAGTCCCAAAAGAGGTTCACCCCCCTCCTGCCTTGCCCCCCTCCCCCCGGCCTCACGCTGGGCGACAAAATTCTTGCTCTTCTCCTCAGACCACCGCCCGTGTCCCGCTCCCAGGGAGCAACATCGGGGGTCCCGTACAGCGTCCAGCCAGAGAAGTAAACATTAATCCCCACCAGATGTTGGGCTGCTCCTGTGGCAGAAGAAGGTCAGGGCGAGAGGAGCTCCACAGCCCGCAGCAGCAGCGATCATAGCCTGAGCCCAGAAGGGTTCTCATCAGAGGCAAGTGGGTGGTGGATGGGTGCCCGCATCAGAGCTGGCAAGTTGGGGGCAGGAGATGGTGGGGGGACGTCTTTTCCCTCAGCGCAATCCCGGGACCCTCCACAGCCACCTTCTGCGTTTCGTCAGTCGCGCTGTCGCCACTTCCAGCAGAAGGCGTCCCAGTCTGGTCGTGCTCCCCTTGGCTTTCGGAGGAGACTGGAAGTTCAAACGGACTAATGAAAAGGGACTGGGGAAGAGCCTGCACAAGGCTCCTCTTTGGCTCCCCCCCCTTCCCCTCCTCCTGCTTTGGACAGTTGGAGGAATGAGAAACCAGCTTCCTGTCCTGACTCCCGCTCACTCGCTCTCTCCTTTCCCCGTTTTACAAATCCTAGGATAATCCAGCTCAAAAAAATGCTGAAAGGAAGTTAGCTGAGGAGGGGGGCGGAGGACGCTTTTTGGCAGTAAAGTGTGTGTGTGTGTGTGTGTGTGTGTGTGTGTGTGAGCGAGGGCTGAGGGAAGGCGGGCAGAGGAGTTGGGGGAGCAGGGATGGGGATGGGGGAAGGAAGAGGGAAGATTTGCCCCGGCAGATAGCGGACTGCCCGGCACGAAACCCCTGGCGCGTCGGGCGCTCCCTGCTCTGCAGCCCGCAGCCCGGCAAGGGCCGGGCAGGCTCCGGCGAGGAGCGGAGAGGCCGGGAGCCTCTCCAATAAATCTCTGCCTCTGCTCGCCGAGTCCTTCGCTGCGAGGCGCCTTCCTGCCCTCCAACGTGACTCTGACACTGCAGGATCTGCCTTCCTCTGCAGAGGTGCGGGATGGAGCTGCTGAAGTGCAAGGAGGGGACCGAGAGTTGGGGAATTAAAAGAGAGGGGGAAGGAGGGAAACCTGCAGCTCCCTCCTCCCCGGCAAGCAGAAACAGATGCTCTCCGGGCATCCGAGTTCGCATACTTTCGAGTCAGCTCCCAAAAAAGGTTCCCCCTGACCAAAAAAGGGATTTAGATAAGGAGCTGAAATGACTCAGTACAGCAAGAAGGGAAATGGGACAGGTCTGCCTTCAGGCCCTGAGCCTTGTCTGTGTCGTTGCCCCTTTCACCCCACAAACACTTTTCTGGTCTAGTTTTCAGTACACACAGATGTCAGCTCATTAGAGCAGTTCCTTGCACTTACCTCACATTTTTCATCCCAGAAATTCAGATTTCTTTACAGGACTGGGTATGCCCACCAGCATACCCAGGGAGACAAAATTACTTCTCCTAAGGCTTCACTGACCCCTCTTACTCTGTGCCAAATGTAGCTGTATGGGTCAGGGTTAAAAAATGAACAAACAAATGAAAAACAGTATGTTATAGCTTTTCACTAAAAATCAGGCCAAGGACAAGGAAAGTAGCTTTGGTTTGGAGGAAAATTGGCCAGGAAATGGGGCGAAGGACACACTTAACCCACCTCCCTTCACAAGCCTTGGTTCTGCATTTTCATGGGGCAGAGGAACCTCTCTGCAAACTCACCACCTCACTCACTTGAGATTAATTTTTCAGAGAAATCAAGCTCTGTCTGAGATCTGACCTCTGCCAAAATCAGTTCAGGTTCTGTTGGTATGGTGACTTTTTTTTTCCCTTTAGAAGTGTTGGATGTTACCACTTCACACATAAGAAAAAATACCAAGGGACCTGGTGATGGACCTTGCCCAATTATAGCTCCGATTGTGCAGTTTATCACTGCAATTATCATAATTATCCCCATTTTACAGCTTGATGCCTGACAGGTTGAGGGGAAAGTGATTTGCAGAATGTCATAGAGATGTCTGGCCTGTCACCTCCCTGCCTTCTGCTCCCACTCACAGGCTAAGGAGGAAAACTCAGCTCTCACCACCAGACCGGTGGTTGTTCTCAGGAACCCTCAGTCCTCATGAAACACTCAGAACTTCCTTGAATTTATTCTGAGCTTCTCACAGCACCTTGATGTCGAGTCAGAGCATGGGATCCCTCTCTGCACCGGCGTGCCGCCAAAGCCATCGCGTGCCACGGCGCATCCTGCCTGCCTGCCAAGGGCTCACTTCACACAGCTCACACAGACAGCAGGACGCTCAGACCTGTGTGCCTTGCCAGACCTTCCTCCCCCTGTCTGGGTGCCTGGGAGATGCAGCCCTGTCCCAGCCCCCTCAGGGAGGAGGCATGTCCTGCTGCACCAGCCAGCCCTTTCCCACATGGCTGAGTCCCCACACAGGACCAGCAGGGAGAGAACAGGTTCAGTGTGGTGAGTAACCACACCAAGTTCTTTGAAGTCCTGAACTCCCCTCTGCAGACCCCCCTTCCCTCCCTTCCTGAGCTGAACAAGATGTTTAATCTCACTGTGCTGGTCTCCTCCACTGCTCTACATCAGGAGGTCACATCTCTAATAGGGTCTGTGTCCACCTGTACTTTCCTCTGGTGACCCCCTACATCACACTCCTGCCCCATCTCCATTGCCCTCCCTCATCTTAGATATGGTTTCTCTACTCCTCTCTTGAAAATCTATCCAAACAGAATGTCTTCAGAAGAGAATGCCTCCATTTTAAAATAAATAAATAAATAAATAAATAAATTCAATAAATAAAATCACCCCCTACATGAGTAAAGCTTCCTTATGTCACCAGTGAGGGAGTTCTGGCCCCAGGGGTGGGGGAGAACCCTGTGCAGCATGGATCCCCTCCCCTTCCTTGTACAGCCCTGCTCCAAGGCTCACAGTCCCAGAGCATGGGCACTCAGCAGCACTGCTGGGTCAGCACATCACCCTCACCCCGTGGTGTTTATTTCAGCCCAGCAGACGTTTTCAGCTGGAAGTACCATTTCTTGGTGCCATCTTTGGAAGCCATGGTGGTGGGTCCTGCTGGCTGATGAATACTGCAGAAATTAGGTGCTGCCATTTCATTTTGGTTATCTGGGGTCTGTGGTCTGCTGCCCTGATCCCAGCCAGGACTCTGGACCCTGAGTATCCAGTGCCAGATGGCAGGACCCACCAGCAGCCATCATCACCATGATACCCTAGTGGGGAAAGCAGAGACTGCCACCTCCATAACAAGAAAGAACAGTATTTGAAGCACAATAGAGGGAAGAGACACTAGAAACAAAACAGGCAATATTCCCACTTTATTCACAGAAGCTCTTTCAGATGCTGTAGGTTTGCTGTCCAGCTCCTTGTTCCCATGGAGGGAAGAGAGCTGAAGAAAGGAAATGGCATGGCAAGCTGGGTGAAAGAGGTGTGTGCTGCAGTGAGAGAAAGAAACCATGAGGAGCTCCAGGAGAGCTCTTGCCAGGCAGGCTGGGCTACAGGGGTGGCTCTTCCCGTGCCAGGACAAGAGGACAGAGGGGAGGTCGCTACAGGAGTGCCCAGAGAGCCTGTGGCCAAGAGGAGGAGAGGAAGAAGGAGGAGGAGGAGAAGGAGGAGGAGGAGGAGGAGGAGGAGAAGGTCAGGCAAGGTGAGCGGGAGCCAAACAAGGGAGGCTTTACAAATAAAGCACTTCATATCGGAGCCTGAAATCAGTGCTGAGCCAAGGGATTTTTCTGAGGGAAAGGGCCGATGTTCTCCAGAGAGGAAAAAATAGGAAATCTGGATTTGCGCAACCCAGGAGGCAGGGCTGTGAGCTAGCTTGAGTGAGCAGGGCTGAGGAGCGAGCCAGTGTCTCTCCTGTGAAAGCTTCCACAGACAAATTCAAGCAAACCTGGAGAGGAAAAGTTCTCAGGCAAGAAGTACGGAAAACAAAACGGAATTCAAGGTTGAAACAACTGGAAAAGAAGGGGGAAATTCTCTCCATCCTAAAAAAAAAAATAGAAAAAGAGAAAAGTGAGTGCAGAATAGGAGCAACAGCAAGCCAAACCAGGGTTCTCATAGCAGCTATCCCTCTGTAGAGATTCCTTCCTCAGTCTGCCAACATGTGCAGAGATGTGCCCCCACAGCGCCACAGCCCAAGTCTGAAAGCCATGACAATGCCTTCAATTCCCTCCTTTTGAACCTGTAAATATGGGTCAGGATTTTAAGTCAGTTACAAAGGCCTCCCTGCCAGCGAGGGCCACAGGTTCACACAGGAAGGTGGGGCACCTTCCCAGCCCACTTCACTGCTGATCTGCCATGCCTCAGCCGCCCTTCAGCTTGAGAACGGATGTGGTGAGCCAGCCTCGTGTGTGAATGAACACAGCATGGATGATGACTTTACAGTTCTGTACAGTTCTCTCCGCTCTCACAGACAAGGTATGGGTGACACCAGGAGCACTCCAAGGGCCTGGGGAACAAGCTTTGGCCATTAGGTCTAAGTATTTCTTCCCCTTCCACTAAGAGCTGGGGGCTGTGGCTGAGGTGTTGCACAGGCTATTTCTGGGCACCCATCTCTCCCCTCCCTGCTGCATTTCCTTCATTGTGTTTGAGCTCTTTCCTATCTGTGGCCTTTAAATCTCCACCGATCTGCCAGGCGCCACTCAGCACAGAGGAGGGGGGGAGGCAGACTCAGAGAGGGGGGGATCTGAACCCCTAAAAATAGCCCTGCCGAGTACGTCTGTTTTCCTGACACAGACGGTTCATTGTTAGACTCTGACACGCCAGTTCACCCTCCCTTCCCACCCCTCAGCACACTCTCTTTCCTCTCCTGCCCCTCTCCAGAGCAGTTTCCTGTCTACTCCCATCTCTGTGGCCAAAGCTGGAGTGTATTGTGAAGCTGAAGGCTGGCGTGGAGTCTTTTGTTTCTCTGAGTACATTTTGGACCACAGACTA